TTAATAGAAATACAGAAAAACACTGTGTTTCTTCACTTATATCCCCATGCTTTTTTTTCTGTATACAGTAGTCTGAGATCAAATCAAAACTGGAGTGAACAATATGGTACATTAAAGACAAACAACTCTGCAGTGAATAGGGCCTTTGGCAGGACTTAGCTCTGTGCATTAAGGAGGGAGAGAAATGCAGAGGCCACACAATATGTAAGTACCAAAGAAAACCCACTCATGCCAATTTGAGGGCGTAAACAATCCCTGCAAATTGCACAGACCCTGTGTAGGCAGAACATCCCCTTAAGAAGCCCTAAGCACTCATCTGTACAACATAGTGCTTATTTCTCATTGTTGCTTGTGCAAGAAAAGCAAGTCTCAAATCTGCACACACACTATTTTTTTTTTCTGCTACAGCCACACACGAAGAGAAGTTGCACAGCACACAGGAATGAATTGTATTCCATACTGGGCTGGGCATGCTAAGGATATGGCCCACTGACATAGCAGGGGTTTTCTTAACACGAGGAGAATTAGATCCAAATGCCTTAACCATGAAAAAATTTCTTGACAAATGCTACGTGAAACATCAATTCAGRTTACATATACTTTGCCTACAGAGAAAAAAATACAATTTCACTCTTAAAATATTTAACATTCAGAAATTAATATACGTCCGAATAATATCTTGGATTGCTACAAGTGTTAAACTGCTGTATATTGAACTAATCTGTAACTTCAAGCCCAGTAGTATAACTGGCATGCTAGAGTAGTTGTTGGTGTCTTTCATAGTATAAACCAGTTAGTAGTATAACAGATTTGCATGGTCCTACAGGGCTGAAAAAAGTGTGGAATGAGGAAGGGAAGGCATGAAGACTAAACCTCTATTCAGGAAAAATATTCAGAATAATTTTCTAAGTGATGACTATCATGAAACATTAATATTTGTTGCATCTTGTTTCCTGATATAAATTCTATTAAGAAAATACATCTATAGGAAAGCAAAGACAACCCACAAAAAAAATAAAATAAAAAAAATCACAGAATCAAAATAAAATCAAAAGCCTTACAGCCTCAGAACTGAAGTAACAATGCAAAAATGAAAAGATAATATAAATATTACTGGAGACTGGCAAATTTCTTCTTCTTATTTCCAATACATTAGAAAGCACTACATACTTTGAAATAAAACACAAGGATCTCTGCCAGACCTATTGTGAGAGAACTCCATGGGTCTCACTCTTTTGATTGTGTGYGCAACTCTCTTTAATAGTAATGACCTTTGAATCTTCGGGGAAGAATAATTTTGTACGCTCACTCAGTYAAATATTTTCCAAGATTTCTGTGAACTTCATTACTTTATTGATTTACTTGATTTGAATGTGTGAATTTCCTCAGTGGTCAAGACAATAAATAACCACTGCAAACCATGGACAGCAAACTATGACAGAATTACTAGTAACTCTGTTTTAGTGGAATTTATGTATTTGTTTCCTGTAACCAAACCAYGACTTTGTAAGTCTCTGGTGCCCTGAAATTATGGAACTGTTCACTTTGATACTTTGCCTCAGCCTACAGACTTCTGAAAATAAGTATCATAGCCTAATCTTTTTCAAAAAAAGATATTTTCCAGTCCTAATTAGTTCTGTATGGTATTCAAATATTCCCAGTAAAGGTGGAAACTTTTTTTTCCACAATACCAATATAAAAAAACAAACCTAGGCAACAGATCAGAGAAACTTCCTTCATGTGAAATGAAAATACCTTTACAGGCTGACAAAAATTCTGTCACAGGAGGTCAAGAAGTCATTTATTTACTGTGAAGGTGAATTCGTTCTGAGATCCAAACTATCTACACTCTAAACTGCAGTAGCAAAATATCCCCATTTTTTTCTGCAGTTACTAYCAAAGAAGGATATACTACTTTTTTGTCTTTCAAATACAAAGACAATCATGACTGAAGATCAAAATGCTTCAAGAAGCAAAYGTAGCATGGTACCGTATTCTAAAGGTATCTCTGAAACAGTATTGTTGGACTCAGTGATATTTTGTAATGTTCATATATTTTTTATTGAACAAAGCAGCTTTGAAGCTTATCAGGCACTGCCCAACAAAATATTTAGTCAAAAAAAATTTACGAGCTTTTTAAACTTTGAGCTAGTAGCTCAGTATTCTATACAAAGAAAATTGTAAAATATTTCATAGTTTTAATTCTCAAGCCAACTCTTGCTGGCTCCCTGTACATTAAAAAAACCAAAACAAAACAAAAAAACAAAACAAAACAAAACAGCAACAAAACAAGAAAATTAATAACAAAAAATAATCACCAGGAAAAATATCCTTAGGCAAAAGAAATTTTTAAAAAAGAGRACAAAAAAACAAGAAAGAAAAACAAGCTTAACCTGTAGATATGCTTGAGAGAAGACTATAGCCTAAAGAAAATTCAGTATTGCATAGCATAGTCTAAAAATTCAGCTTTCAGCGAACAGAAAAGGAAAAAGATAAGCAGTTTGGTATTGACAGTTTCCATCAATGATAGTTAGTCATCCAGTACTATGTACAGTATTATACATTGTATGCCATTGAAAGTCCTGTTTTCTGCAGTCTTAAATATATTCTTAAAACAGGATTTTTAATCATCTGAACAAAACACTTCCTGGCACTTTGCTATTACAATTACTCTGAACAACATACTGTAACTGAAGTCCTTTTAAAGTGTCCCTTAGAAATGAAAGTGCCACTCTGCTACATATCATTCACCAGAAACCAAAATAAAACCACAATGCTGTATGTCTGGATCCACTGAGTGCAGCAACACCATTCCAAGTCAGACTGTGACCACAAAATTTCAATAACTGAGTAACACAGACCTCTTATACCTTGTGTCTGGATAATCCAATGTTCTAGCTGGTAAAGCTTCAGAAGTGGTCGTAAACAAGCACCATGCTTAAAGGCCTCTATGTCCCTGCAGGGAGATCAGGTTTGGATTTTTCTCTTGTGTTTTTCTTTTCTTAATTATACAAAAAAAAAAAAAAAACACTTCAGATTACAAACATACATTCACAGCTTAACGCTGTGATCTCTCCCACTGCAGTTGTGAAGGAAATCTCTAGTCCCATCTGAAGACAGATAGCTTTGATACTGCAAATTCTTCAGTAAAGCTGAAAGAAGCCTTTTCTCTCCAGAGGCCTCAATGTTGCCAAATCATTTCTTAAAAAAAAAAAAAACCCACAAACAACCCAGAATATTAAGATCTTCATCGCCTCTGCTGTGCATATACTGGGTAGGCTAGTGTGACATTGAGAGAGTCATTGTGCTGCACAAGTGACGTGTGTTGGTAATGTAGCACCAGTTCTTTGAGCGAGTTGTACAAGTTATATGGCTCTGCAAATCCATACCCAGTAGGTGTTTTGTTTATCACACAGTGCTTTACTTCACCATCCACCCTAAAAGAAACAAAAACAACCAGTTTTTAGTTTGTGAGTACAGTAAAATTAAGACAGAAAATAAGGTTCCAGCAATAAATCTTAAAAATGCTAGTCAGTACATAGAATTCATCTCTTCCATGGTGGGATAACGGTAAAAACCTAGGTTTAGTCCAAATTCATGATGTCATGCTGGCTTAGGGAGGCGGAAGATAAGCAGGACTTAGCAGCTGCATGGAAAGGAGTGAACACATGTTCTGGTCTCCCTACCAAGAGAGGATCCTCTGTGGGAGTGTCACAGGTTGGAGTTGTGTAGGAAATGGAGCAGCAATAAGAACGACCTGAGGACTTCTTGACCTGCTTCTAAGCCCAAAGGTCCAATTGTGCATATGCAAGTGTCTATCTGTCCCCAGCTCAAGGTAGGCCCCTCATATGCTGGTTACATCATTCACAAATTAGGGTACATACACCACAGAGCAGGCATAGCAGCCTTGTTTGCTGCTCTCTCGAACAAGGAATGTTCCGTCTCGCTTTCCCCGCAGCAGATTTTCAGCTTGGCTTCTGTTGATATTTCCCACATTCCATGTTCTCTCATCATGATGGGGCAAGTCCTCATCATCTTCTACCATAGAGTATTGGCTGCAAAAATGAAAAAATGTGTTTGTGAAACACAGAACAAAATCCACTAATTAAGTAGTCTTCACTCCATGTTACAGTGGTTAGCAGGATGCCTCCTTGGTAAAACTAGGGATTTAAACTGGTAAAATATAAGCTATGTTTCTTTTTTCTTTGAAAAACACTAATGTAAATCTTAGGAAGACTATAAAAAGATGATGTCTTGTTTTTCACAATATGCTGTGAGCATTTCTGTACTTCTACCATTGCTCATTGTTTTGGTAAATAGCAAGCCCAACAAAATCAGTACCCTGTGAGTCAGCTTCATTTCCAAGTGTTCCAGCAGAACACTTGGTCAGCAGTGAAAAATCACGCAAAAATCAAGCTGCTGCTTGGAGAGCATCTGAGCAGTTGCACAGGGAGACAGAATTAATTATTTATAGGGAAGATGGCTTTGTGGAAAGGTACAATGGTAGAGTGCTTCCTCTCTCTTTCTCTCTCTTTACAAGCAGATTATGAGAAGAGCAATATGGGGCCTGCTCTACTAAATCAGCCACCAACTATAATGTTGATTCAGAATTACAGACAACCCTCTAAATTAAAGCAAGCATCTGGCTCAGCTGTGTGGACACCACTTCAGGATTCTGCAGTTTCAGAGCTCCCCACTCCCACAGCAGCCTGCACTGACTGGCCCTGCCTCTCCTGCTCAGCTTGCTACCAGTCTGTGTATGGCTAATGCAAGTATTCTCTCTGTAATAGGCCTTTTAGTTTTCCTCGGTCTAAGAAAAGATGACTTCTCACTCATGCACAGTTCTGTCTTTCTTAAAGAACCTCAAAGAAGTCCACAGAAATCAAAAATCTTACACAAAATTCAATTTTTCCTAAAGGAAAATGGTTCTTTTGTTTCAGACAACATTCTCTATGGGTCCCTTATCCCATCACTCTTTTGACATGGGTTCAGTAGTGGCTCTGTTTTCAACCAGCATCTAGAGAAAATGTTTCTTGGTTTTCATCCTGCTTTTTATATTAGTTTATCTTTTTCTGCAACACAACTTTAGAAAAACAGCCATATTCTAAAAGTTTAATTTTTCAGCAGTTACCACTCCTTGCTGGCAAGGAGTGTCAGCATGAGAGAAAATGAAGGTTTTCTCCAAACAGTTTCACCTGCTATTTTGACGCTACACTAAACCTACAGAGTAGCATTGTTCTTTGTCTACTGTTTAAGTGATAGGAACACTTGGAAGCAGATGCCTATATATTTTATCATCTTTAAGTTGTGCTAAGACTGAGAAAACAACATGGTTTTAAAATGTCTATGTCATTTTTATCTCCTGCTTCTACCACAGCGATAACCACAATTTCCAGGGTAACAGTAGCAGACTCAATAAACCAAGCCAAATTAAAATAAATGTGGACAAGAATGCAAATCCACTAAAGAGTAATTGTCAGTCTGCTGCTTTCATTGTACAGGCAACCAGGCAGCATAAAAGGCATGCACAAGAAACTAACATAGGCAGAAAATGTTGACATAAAAATTACTGAGACAATTTTGATTTTTCTGTTTGTTCATTTTCCACTGTTATTATACTTCAGATTTTTTTTTGTCTTGCTTATATTTAAATTTGGTCTATGTTTACACAAGCCAAGCACATTTTGCTTTTTTTCCCAGGAATGAAATGAAACATATTCMTCAGCCAAGCCCTGTCAGAACCTACAGTAAACTAAACTGCTTGAAATGACAGAATACTATCCTGCCATTTTCCAGAGAAGTAAAATAGACCACAAAACCAGAAAGATACTCCTCAGCACATACAAATTTATCATCTCCAGCAGCAATGTGACATAATGATGTGGGTACCACTATACTGGATAACATCATGGTACCCCCACAGACGAAATTTGGAAAAAGCCTGCTTACACGTAGGAGATCTTTTGAACAACTAATCCATACATATGGCATCTCTCTAAGATACTAACACCTTATGAACTTAATTTTGCTGGTAAGAAAAAAGACACGGGTTACATTTCAGTGCTTTGCTATACTAACTTGACTATGCACTACCCTGAAAAAAGAAGAGTGGAGGGTGAGACAGCATCCTTTCTAACACTTGCATTATGTAGGCTGTCATGTCTTAACAGTGTGCATTGTTACTGCAGACCTAGGCTTGAGATTTCCTTTGTGTCGTCCAAGATTTAAATATGCTTTATCTCACTTTTGTATTCAGATGATTTGAAACATCAGAAATATTTAAATCTTCCAATACTTACTCTTCTGCATTTTCATTTCCAAGCCATTCATTTAGCTTCTTTTGCCGAACACCTTTTTGAGTCAGCCACCTGGACAATAATTGCAAATAAAATTAGTTTTTAGTCAGAAAAGTTGGATACAATTAAAAAACCAAACTGAACATTTGTTAATTCATGATACTCACATCAAGTACTGATCTCTTGTCTTCCTCAGCTGTATGAGGTCTGGCTTAATGCTGTTCATACGCTTGTCTATCTCTCTGTATTCAGCTGCTTGCTTCTTTAAGTCTTCTTCTAATCTGCGCCTGCTATCCACAATTTCACTTATCCGAGACTTCAGTTTTTCATAGTTGTGCATGATTCTAGACAGAACAGCGTAGTCAGTTACACTCTGATCTCTTATTCATAACTATATAATCTACTATTTAGAGGTACAGACACTTAAGAGAACAAATTATTTCTCTAGATGTAGTTATACATTTTGCCAGTTCACATCTTCCCTATTGGAAGCTTCTTTGCTTACAAACAAACTTGTCACGTTGCTTCAGTTTTAGGCAGACGTATACTTGGCACTGTTTGTTTTTTCAAAAATCATACAATTTGATATGCAAAATCAAATACTGACCTTTGTATTTCTTTTTCATTTCCTTCTCGTTTAAATTTTTCAATGTATTCCTTACTGTATCTTTCTTGTGTTTGGCACTGCTCTTCAAATATTTTTATTGTTTCATTAAATGCCTCAATGGCTGTTCTTTTCATTTGAATTTCCTAAAAATAAAATAATTATTATTACAGTTGTTATCAGACAAAGTGGAAGATTTATTGGCCTGTATCAGAGAAGCACTTCAGTATACTGTAGAAGAATATCCTTTCCATATCCCTTTAGCAAAACATATTCCATCTGCAGAGTCTTATGGCAGAGAGACAATGGGCCTATGCAAAAGGCTACCATGACAAGCTTTCCATGATGAGGTTAATCAAGAAAGTAGAACTGCTGAAAAAAACCCGGTTACAATCTTTGCTTTGTGTAAATAAATTGATGCTTAGACCCTTATGGCAGCGCACTTTGCCCTTTGTACCAGCTTAAGTCCTCAGAGGCACACCTGGCTTTCTGCAATAAAGGTGGCCTGGACAGGTCTCAGGAGGTTATCTAGTTTATTCTCCTGCCCTGAAATACCTAGTTGAAAGCAAAGTCTTAAGTCATTAGTTCAAGTTGCCAGCAATTTTCCAATTTTCTTCAATTATTTTTAGGCGTATTTCCTGCACCCTTTAAGAAGCAGTCTGGATTTTGGGTCTGTAAAAACTGGTTCTGGGCACTAATTCACTTGCACTCCAAAGAGAGGCCAAAAATTCATTAAGCTGAAAGAAGGACAGAGGCAGCTTTTCATTCCCACATTGCATCAACACGTCTTTTTATCTTGCAGACCCTTCAAAAACTCACAATAAAATGCAATGCTTTCCTAAAAATGTGTCTTGAAAACCATAACTCAGCTTGATGAGGTCAGTGCGCAGAAGTTGTGGCAAATCAAGATAGTTACGTACTTGACTTGGATGCAGCTGTCAAACTCGGGCACAGGTTGCTTAGTTTACAGGTGGTGTCTGTTCAAACCTGACTAAGTAACTGCACTATTCTGAGCAACCACTTCAGGACAATGGCAGTGGTGGTAGAAGTGAGGAGTGGGAAGATGACAGTATAAATTCACATTAATAGTCTTCAAAGTTTTCCACTCTCCCTTTGATTCAAATCAAGCTCACCTGAGATGTTCTTGTGTAGTCTTCATAGAGTCTGTCATATTCTCTGCTTTTTTCTTGGAACTGGGTATTATATTCATGTAACTTCTTTCCCACTGCTTCAATGCTATCCTCTTTTACAACTTGATCCTGGAAGGATGAGCAGAAAGAAAGGTATTTGGTAAGAAGACAATTATAGTGCACAGATTTTCTGGATTAAACTGCTTGAAATATCTTAGATAATTACATGGAAATGTGATTTCACTTTCACCAATATGAGGATATAATATACTAAATGCATAATATGCAAATGAAAAATTAATGACAAAAAGGAATTTTTTATTTCAAGTATTTAGCTTTATACTGAAAACTACATATTTCAGCACTAAGTGGGATATTTATTCAGGCTGTTTATTTCTTAATAGTGTATCTGCAGTATTTAAAGTTTTAAATACATGCAAAGTGTGGAGCTGGTTTTAAACAAAAATATCAGGTTTTGTACCCACCTAATTTTTTCAAACATTAACAGAGCTGAAGTTCTTAATGATAAATTACTTCCTAGTCTGCAATAATTTCTCCATACTTAAGTGAAAGGCAAAGAAAATAAACTAAATTACCTGCTGATACTTAGATACTGGGTAGAGTAATTTTACATCCAGTTTAGGATTATACTGGGCTAGAGATTCATTCCGGTAGTGGTTTATTAGCTCGACCACAGAGTTGAAAGTTAATGGGTCAGAAAAACCGTATTTTCCATCTCGATGAAAAATTTTGATTAATTTGTTATTTCCTCCTTTCCTGTAAATGAAGTATATTGAAAAGTTAGGCATGCTGCAAGTATTATTTCCTAAAGAATATTCCACATTTAGTGCAGTTATTGCATTTTACTATCAAGTATTACAGACCTAGTATAACTAGTCTTACCTCAGTGTAAGTGTGTAGTCCCCATGCATTTTGGTTGAAGCATCTCGTACCAAAAAGGTACCATCAGCTGTGTCTCGAAGTTTCTCATTTACTTCTTCTCTAAAATGAAACCAAAAGTAACCAATCATTTAAATTAGTTCTCATACATTTATTCTTTCATGGTGCTCTAAATTAAAATTCAAATGCTTTGAAATAAATAAGTTTTAGAAGCCTTCTATATCTTGATATTAAGACAAATATTTAATACCTTATTTAAAATTGCTAGAGAACAACTGGGATATAAAAATGGCATACTCTGTACTCTCACTCTGGATAAAATTATTATTCATGCAAAGGTCTTTCTGCTTGTTCATACAAGTCTGTACACTTGGAGCAGCCAGTGCTGGTTTAATATACCTATATATAGTACAGACAAAAATGTTGCTAATATATAGCACTTGTTAGTCTGACTGGCTAACTATTGTGCCTCCAGTTGAGGTTCTGAATGAAAGACAAGAAGAAAATGATTTCTTTCTTAGTGCTCCCTTTTCATGCTTGCATTTCATATAATTGTCTTAAAATAATAGAGCAATCGTTTTGCATACTACGTTCTAACTGACTGCCAGCAACTTTTAAGTCATGTTTGTAATAAAACGAACTCTTAATACATTTTTGGTGGAAAACATCCAGAATTTACTCTTAGAACCATGATTTTTCTACACTCAAAGCACAATACATATACACAGAACAGCAAAGCAAGAATAGCATTAAGTCAAACACAAGAAAGAAATACCTATCTTGAGGTGATTTACCTTGAGATATCTCCCCAGTACCATTCAGCGTCTTGTAATGACATGTTGTTATTCATGCTATTGTTAGTTACAGTATTAGGTTTCGGTGGCTTAGGAGGCAGGGCTGTAAGTGAAAGGGGGGAAGAAAAGTTGTAACTCACTGAAAACATGACCATATATTCCGTGAAATTGCACATTATTACATGAATTTTTTAATTATATGAGTGCATTAAAAAAAGAGCTGGTTGCCAAATAGAGTTGTGCATCAGTAAGTCTGTAAAAGACATTACAGAAATCAAGACGCTGCACTGAAAACAAAATAATTCAAAATGAAGTTGTACTGTTTCAAAAAATGGTATCATCTTGCAAAAATAAATTTTAAGGAAAATATAACACCATACCCTACTCCTCCCCCTGCCAAGAAAGCATTTGAGAAAAAAAAAAA